AAACAAGACACCTGCTTACAACTCCTCTTCACAAAGGAATATATCCACGCCTGAACACCCACGTATGCCTTCCAGCTATATCAAAGATGCTATTTTCCGTTCTTCTCCTTTGGCTGGACCACCTCTTGTTGTTCAGGAACCCGTGAATACGGCTGAAGTTCCGGTAAGCCAGGAACAGGCGCAGTATACCATTGAATCGGTACAAAGTACATCAAAAGCGCGGCGCAATTCTTTTCAGGGATATCTGGAGTCTAAGAGACTCTCAATCCCACGTCTGTTAGGGCAAGTCAAAAGGGGAAAAGACGGCGCTAACGCGGACGCAACCACAAGAGAAAGGGTTGTGAGCAGGGCAGAGCAGAAATCCGTTTCTATGACTCCCAAGTCGGAATCTACTGCGATTTCTTTGAGCGCGTTAACTAGTACGACAAGCGAATCTAACATCACAAACACGCAAAGGCCCATATCTTCTACATCTAACACCACTCCTTCGCCGCTAGCAGACACAACTAACTTCACCCAGTCGCATCGGAATTCCAACGAATTTATGCAGAAACTGCGAGTCAGTAGTGACCAGAGGGGAAAGTTGCGGAAGCGAAGAATATCAACAGGTGTCGATTCTAAATTTGACTCTAAAACAACTGCAGTAGAGAAAAACGATCATCTCATTAACGATAAGCTTTCGCAGCCACGTAGCTTGCAATCAGAAGCACGGATATCACAAAACCTGCACTCGCCTGGGCTCCCTCGGCCACCTGCTAATACTGGGAAGAAAATAGAGGCTGGCCCATCGAAAGAGCCATCCGTTGTCAGCTCAGGGCCCAGCTATTTCCGACAACGATCCTCAGCAGAATATGTTCCCACCACCCCAAGCGCATTAAGTCTCCATGGTGGACTGGGTGCATCGGTTAGAAGTCCAGGGTCTAATCGGACAGTGGGGCAGCAAATTGCAAAGATGTTTGTCATATGTTGCCAATGCAAACACTGGCATGATATGACTGCTCAAGCTTACGCGAAATTAGCTTTTCCCAGTGGAATACCGTCGACCACGGATTTGACACCCCTAACTCCTACAGAAGCACCGGCATCTCCCTCGAGACAATTCTCAGGGTCTCCGCTAGGCAGTCCCAACTCATCCCGTACGAACCTTGGAGTGAAGGAAGGGAAAGCACCTGTTAAGCCAATACGGCCCGGTGCCGCAAGATCAGACTCGCTGCATCATTCGACCATTTGTTGCTGGTGTTATCACCAAATGGCGAAATCTTGTTGCGCTGGATGGACGACCATAGTTACCATGCGTGAACGCCATCATTGAGAGTAAAACTTCTCGGATTTCGGTTCTAGTGAACTCGAATGCTCCTTCTATCTTCAAAACATTAGACTTCTCTTCGGCTCTTACATATTTTCGGTTTTGTTATTCCACGCCCAGGTTGGTTTCTGCGTTCTATGGCTGAAGGAAGGACGTTCCTTGGTCTCTTCGACGAGAATCGCCATGTGCATGAACTAAAGAAACCCCCCCCAAAAAAAAACACACGTTTCTTCCCTTTTTTCACATCAGTTAAAACCAGGGCATTATTGAAAATTTATTGAGTTTTGGACTTTTTGATCTGCTTCCTTTGAATAAGCTATGAGGCATGGATGGTGTATTTCGGATAAAGTAGCTTCGGCGCTAAGGTAACTATGGATCATGACTGATGACCACTCGCATTTTCCTTTTTCATTGTGTCATGCTGGGTGTATATACAGCACTCTATCCCCTGCAACTATAAGTCTTCCAGTTTACAAATTATGTTGGTTGAATTGGGCTCAGCTCACCATTTATCCAAGCCATGTCCAATATGACATATTCACAAATGGTATACACAAGGGGACATTGGAAAAAAAAAAATCCAGCTGCCAATATTTACAACTTACCCTCATGAGCCGCAGAAATATGAACAAGCAGGCTCACAAGAAACCAGTATCTGTCTCTATTCGTGAGACTATAATCAATACTGCTTGGTAACGGATAACGCCAGGGCAGCATCAACATCATGCTTTCGAATTCCAGGTGCGCGACCAAGGCAGACGGCCCTGTGGCATAATTCTAGATGGGTTCCAAGGTATTAGTTGCGTTTGGCTCTTCTGAAAATAGGTGACTCTCTCTCTCTCTGGGGGGGGGGGGGGGGGGGGGGTGGGGAAGAAGGGGAAGTATTAAACTCACGCGTAACAAAGTTGTCGACATCTAGTAGCAACGAGGGAGGGTTGTTCAACCCATCGAATTTGTCAGAAGGAGAATGGCTAGCAACTGACGGTGCAGGACCACCTAGCCTCAGAGTCGGGTCATGCGCAAGTCCCAGAAGACCCATCATTTGCGAGCAAACTTCATTCTGGAAAGGATAATATGTTTCCGACAATGGATGTGTCGTCGACATTGCAAATTCCGGTTGTGATTCTGGATTGGCAATCCTATGGGAAAGGGTCAAGGTATCGGCATCATGAGAGCCGCCGGGCGAGTTGGTTGCTGGAGAGTTGATACTGGATGCGTGTGGTGTAACGGCGGAAGAAGGGATGAGGATGTAGGAAGATCGACTGTTTAGCCTAATCCCCTTTTCGCATAGGTACCCCTCCACATCATGGCAATCGAACCAGTCGCCGCCAAAACCAATGGCGTCGATGATTTCGTCCACACTTTTGAATTGATGTGGCCGCTCAACGTCGTGCAGCGGAAGGGGTCCAAACGCTCGTTCGGGCGGATGCATATTGGGCGGGAAGATCACATTGCCGAATTCATCCTCGTGGGGGTAATGCATGCCTGCCCCGCCGATGTAGAAGAATGGCTTGTTCCAGAATTCGAGCGGTTCACCGGCTTTTCTCTGGAGAAGGTAATGAAAGGCCCGGACGAGTCGCTCTCGAGTTATTATGCCGAATGTGAATCTGAATGTATAGTTGATTTTGTCTGGATTACAAGACGGGTTGGTTAGGGCAGCGTATCCGAATTCCACGCACCGACGATGAAGACGCCGGGAGAAACTTGTTTCCTGGAAACTATAGGTGTATTGAAGATGTGGACTGAGCTCTCGGGGCAAAGAGGACGGACTCGACATCATGAATTGGGATTCTTCATTGGATAGGGCCCTATAGCCAAGAAAAGTATTGTTTTCTATGACTGAATTCAGGGTATCTGGGATTATTGACGTATTCTGAGGGTATATGGAGGTATTGGCGACCGGCTTTGAAAAAGGTGCAGTCCTACTTCCAAAAGAAGCGGCAGCAATTCCCACACTATTTACGGCTGGGTAAACATCCGTAGAAATCGACGAAATTTTCCCTTCATTTAGACCTCCCTTTTGTGCCTCACTGCCTGATTCTGCTTCTTCCACAGACTCTTCATCAGAGCCACGCGAGATATCCGATGCGAGCGTCAGGAAACGCTGGGTCGTACGACGTAACTTTTGTGCCAGATCTGGCTGCACAGAAAGGATACCAGAGCTCAGAGCATCATCATTGAAAGCCAGAAACGTCTTGCTCATTTCTTCAATGGTATATTCTAACTGCTCCACTCGCTCACTAAGTGACGTGATAACGGCTTCTTTTCGCAGTCTGTAGGCCCGCTGTGCGAGACGTATTTGCGTTCGCCGCCGCTGAGCTTGCAGGTCAGTCTCATTGAAAAAAAAGCTACATGGTAGACAATTCATCGGGGAGATGAAGACGTAAGGCTCACTTCGGTAGCTGTCTCATCAGCGGCGTGGACCCTCGGCCGACCGCGCTTCCTGGACACCTCATCTGCTGCTTCACCAGGTGCTGTTCCCGACGGAGATACCTTCGCCATCGTTCCCTTTCGCAACGCTTTCTTCCTCCTTGAACGAGGCGCGGGTTGCCCTTTGTTATCTGCATTTTGCCGCTTCGATTCCTGCTCAGCAAATGGGACAAGTCCTCCAAGTAACACCTGAGACGGCTGTTCAGCAGGCGCAGGGCGAGAATGAGCCTGCGGCGTATTTGGAAATGAATCCGCCGAAAGGATATCTAAATGCCATTGCGGCGTAAAAGCTGAATACATGACGATTTTTAAAAATCGAGCGAATTGTCGGAGAAATTGCGACAGCTAAAAATGGCCTCTGGGAATATGATACTGGTTAGATCTCAGCGCAATGCGGCAATTTGGCTGCATCTCAGTCTTGATTTCTGCCAAACGGTTCCCCATAATCTACTCCAAGAAATTGCAGAGCAATTGAATACAGAACTCATCAGTATAGCAGAGACGTTCCATACGTTGCTTGGGAGGCGATGACGGTTACGGCAAGCCATAGTGGCCAGTCATGGGGATAAAAATAGCCTTTGGCGGTGAAGATTGACTCGCCCCGTTGACCTTTCAATATGTAGTTAGGCTTTGTCTAGGCTATTCAAAGCTTAAGTCATCCTTAGAATGGTAGCTTCTTAGGGGAGTATTCTAAGGGGAGGAGGGAGTCGTAGGGATGATTCTGGGGATTTGGGAGAGAGTACATACGTTTAATACTAATCCATCGAACAATGCCAGAAATCCTCTGTAGAAGTCCCATCTCAGAATCTCACCCTGGGAAGAATCCTGTCTGCTGGGAATCGCAGGGTTATACGAAGTACATCCAGAAATGAATCGGCAGGCCATCCTCGAGGGTAGTTAGTAGTAAAGCCATCTGAGATCATTTAGGTTGGCAGAATAATTCTGCCACTCAAGCACCAGCTTCGTCTCTGGCTCCTACAGCTTGCCCGAGACCGCCAATAGCAACGCACGTGATATTTAGGCAGACACGCAAATCATGTGAGTGGTCTTTTTGAGAGGTCTGGGCCATTTTCTCTTCATCGCTTGGTGTCAACCACAGCGTAGTTCCTTACTGTGTACTGTACATATATGAAGAAGATGACCATTTATTAAAATTCATGTATAAAAGTAGTAAACTTGTATGTAGGTAGCATGGACTTCTTGTTACGAGCCTGTGATGAGGAACAGAAGGGATTCAAAAAAAAGAGGGCAAAAAGGTAAAGCCCGCCCGAGCAGAGGCTCGAACTCTGGACCCTGAGGTAATTTTTTAAAAGCCTCATGCTCTACCGACTGAGCTACCCGGGCGTGTACTGCTAAATTTGAATTTACATTCTCTTATAAATAAAAACCGTCGTCCAGCGGTAAGCTGCAGAGATAAATACATATCAAGGCAGCAATTGATAGAATCAATTCCAAGGGACCGCGCGATGCAAGAAATCTAACTATACGACCAGAATCCCTTGATAGATAGGTAATTTCGTCGACTCTAATTTGCCTTAGATGGGAGTTTTAGATACAAAGGCATTCATCTCCTAGAGGGTATTCCTCCTTCCTACGCACACGTTTACCATTTTGTTATTTCGCCTCGCTTGGGAGCCTCCATCCTTACTACCTTGTCGCAGTTGAGGAGAGACAGCGGATCGAGGGCTTGCTTGATCTGAATAGGGTTGGTTAGCCACGAGAGGGTGGACTCCCCAAGCGGTCGATGATGCACAGTACATACCTTACGCATAGTGTCGACTGTTGAGTCCCCGAGTTCATGAGGAAGGTAATCGCGTTTAACGAGTCCGACCCCATGTTCTCCAGTAACAGTTCCCTCCATTTCAACAGCTCGCTTGACCATCCGATGAACAATCCCTTCGGCAATGTCACGTTCGCTATCGTTGAATAAAAGGATAGCTGGCGTGCTTCATGTTAGCAATGACGCGGGTCCCCAGACGGGACAGAGGAAGCTTACTGTGGAAGTTGCCATCGCCAACATGACCACAGATGCCTCCCAGTAATCCGTTCTCCGTGATATCGTCCTTGGTCTGCTCAATGATATCGGGCAGTTTACTAATCGGCACAGCAACATCGGTAGTCCAGACGTGGTCATTTGTATCCCTTCTCATGGCCATAATGCTCCACAAAGCTTCTTTTCTTGCACTCCACAGCTCATGTGTCTCATCCTCTCCTTGAGCGAATTCAAATGATTGGCTCTTCGTATCTTTGGCGATTTTCTGGACAATTTTAATTTGATCTTTTACACCAGTGGGAGTTCCTGTGAACTTGAAGAACACAGTTGGAGCTTCTTTCCAAGTTCGCCTTGTCGTCTGGCTATGGTTGATGCATTTCATTTGTACATCATCTAGGATCTCGACCCCTGCAACTTGTACGCCCTCACCGACAACTCGAGCAACGCACTCTGCGGCAGTGTGAATCGATGGGAAAGCAGCTACTGCAACACTTTCACTCTTCGGCTTAGGCGTCACCTTCAATGTAGCTTCAGTCACCAGGCCCAAAGTTCCTTCGCTGCCAATAAATAATTTAGTAAGATCATATCCAGCACTAGATTTCCGCGGACGCTGTCTGGTCTTGATGATGGTCCCATCGGCGAGTACAACTGTCAAAGACAGGACCCATTCACGCATCGTACCATACCGATAAGCATTTGTACCAGAACAGCCGGTTCCCACCATACCCCCAATCTGAGCGCTCGGGCCAGGATCAGGAGGGAAGAAGAGACCGTGTTTGGCAAGCTCATCATTTAAATGCTCCCATCCCACTGCTGGCTGTACTACCACATCCAAATCCTTCTCGTGTAAAGCCAGTATTTGTCCCATGCGATGGAAATCGATACAGATCCCTCCACGTGTAGGAGAGAAGTGTCCTTCCAAGCTTGTGCCACCAGAGTAAGGAGTGACTGGAATCCTTCTATCATGGCAAATTTTCATTATGCGAGAGACTTCTTCAGTGGTCGATGGGAGCACGACCAAGAATGGCCTTTCGTTCTCTTTAACAGCGTAGGACGACCAATCCGAGCCAGAGTGCGCTTCCAAATCCATCTTGTCTGTCGAGACATTTTCCTTGCCCACAATCTGAACAAAATCGGACCAGGCCGCTTGGAGGTTACCAGGGGAAGTATCATGGTGCGGTTTCTGGGCTTCATGGAGGGGCGTGGTGGACGATTCAGGGAGAGAGGCCGGTCGTAAAGATCCTAAATAGTAGCACCCTAAAGCTGTAACAATAATAGCTATATCATTGTCAACCTCAAGAAATCGAGCACACGTAGTCCACATTCAAAACGTACTCAGGGTAATTGCAGTATTTCGTAAAGCTGGAGACTCTCTTTGCATCCGCGCGTACCGCTCGAGTTCTGCTCGTTCACGCGATATTCTCTGCTGAGTGCTCTCGTATAATTGACCTTTGAACGTCGGCCTCTCCTCCGCCCTCGCAGCTGTGGTCCCAAACGATCGTTTCGGCCTGGCTCCATTTTTGGGAGCGGAGTTATAAGTTGCACTGGCTATCCGCTGGGCCTTTCCGGCTGCCCGAACAGCTTTGGACGCCACTCCGCGCGAACTGAACATGGTGGTGGCAACGCAGGAGGGAGTGTCTCTGGGCGATGATGCTGCAATTGATTATTTCTTGATTCGTGCTCGGGATTCTAAGGCATTGCCGAGGGAGAAGCTGTTGTGTTGCAGCGATGGGAGTGGCCTCCAAAGGATTCAAGTGTGGACTTGCTTGTTAGTTATGATTAGCTGCTTTTCGTCAACTTGGCCATTGGTGCGAAGATCTGCTCATCCCACTCGCCCATCAACTCCATTCTGGTTTTGATTTCAACTAATCCGTGCTCCATACTATCAAGAGACTCTGGGCATTACTGATCATGTTTAAGTGCCAAATCGCTAGAATGTCGGGCGAGAGCCCTGTTAACAGCTGACTGCTTTAGAAACCTGGTCACTGAGGGTCACCTTCATCTCTGCTCAACTGATCTGAAGGTCAAGTTCGCTGTCGACCGTTCTAGATCCATGATGTGAATGACCGTTGGCAAGGCATTAACTACATAACTATGTAGTTCCTCAGGTCTTTAGAGGAGATCTGCAGTAACTATAGTGCATACATGTTCAAGGACTCAAAGATCTGACAAGTATCCCATCTGCTACTTCGGCGCCAGGTCCCGTTGAATCCCGCATTCTCTTCCCATCCAAACAGAGGATCTTCCACGGTTCGACCTTAGGCTCCAAGAACCCTGGAAACTCATATGGTCTGATCGTCTGACTGGCATGATGTCTGCATTAACAAGCCAATTTGATTGTGTTGACGGAGCGGTCATCCGGGTTTTCCCCTTTAACAACGGAGCTTCCCCCTTATGTACTTCGTGTAGGCTCTATCTGCAACGGAACTCCGCCTAGCTCCCAGGACTGAGAAACATGGGTGCAGCCTTGATCTCTGAACATAAAATAAACACATCCTTCAGTTGGAGAATACCTGTTTTCGGTATTAACCCAATTCTTTCTTCTCCTTACTAGATATCTATGTTCCCTTCTCACGAAAACAAGTCAGGATGAGCGCATCTCCTCGGAGCCCGTCATCAACGGCTGCGGCTCATCGCGTGGTCTTGCCGATTGATCAGAAATGGGAATTCAAACAAGCAAACAGTCCAGTTTCTGAGTTTCGTCCGGTTGCCCAGTTCCCGACAAACATCCATCTGGACCTCATGTATCATGGCATCATCGAGGACCCATTCATTGGAATGAACGAAGACAAGGTGCAATGGGTAGGCAAAGAATCGTGGGTTTACAGGACCACCTTTACAGCACCAGCCTTGGATAGTGTGGAGAAGGCAGTCCTCGCTTTTGACGGCCTGGATACCTATGCGACAGTGAAACTTAATGGCAGAACAATACTGTCAACGAATAATATGTTTGTGCCAGAGAGAGTTAATGTGACTGGCCTCCTCGACACTTGTGAGAATACACTGGAAATCGTCTTTCAGAGCGCCTGGGAGATGGGAATGAAGTTGAGGAAACAACATCCAGAGCATGTATGGGGCTGTTGGAATGGTGATCCGAGTAGATGTGCTGTCAGGAAAGCACAGTATCACTACGTGAGGTGTCTGCTCTGAGATCTGGCGACGAGATAGCAACTAACTCCAGCATATCAGGGATGGGACTGGGGACCGACCCTTATGACATGTGGCCCTTGGAGGCCTATCAATCTTGAGATCTTCACGTCCCGTATTGCCGATCTGCATTTTCAGACTGATATTGATAAATCCCTCAAACACGCCAAAGTAACAGTATTCGTCGAAGTGGAAGGAGATGCGGATGAAGTGATTATTCAGATGCTTCTTCGGGACAGTTTAAAGGCCAAAGCAACCGCTACTATCGACGCTGGCGTTGCAACCGCGACTTTTCATGTGCCAGATCCACAACTTTGGTATCCTGCCAAATATGGCGAGCAGCCGCTCTACACTCTACATGCAACTTTATTAGGAAACGACACGAAGCTGGATACCTGTACCAAGCGACTTGGACTCCGTCGGGCGCGACTAGTACAAAGGCCAATAATCGGAGTCTCTGGAAAAACGTTCTTCTTTGAGATCAACAACATTCCTGTGTTTTGCGGTGGCTGTAATTGGATCCCAGCGGACAGCTTTACCCCTCGAATATCACCACAGAAATATCGAGATTGGTTGCAGTTAGTTCTCGATGGAAATCAAGCAATGGTTAGGGTATGGGGCGGTGGCATTTTCGAAGAGCAGATTTTCTATGATATCTGCGATGAGCTAGGCCTACTTGTCTGGCAAGATTTCTTGTTCGCCTGTGGTAACTACCCAGCATATGAAGATTTTCTCAAGTCAGTGGAACGCGAAGCTATTGCCAACGTCAAGCGTCTAAGACATCACCCCTCGATCCTTATTTGGGCTGGAAATAACGAGGACTACCAGTACGCAGAAAGTGAAAAGTTGGAATACGATCCAAATGACCATGATCCTGCTCATTGGCTCAAGTCTACATTTCCCGCCAGATACATCTATGAGAAACTTTTGGTCGATGTGATGCACAAGTATAGTCCTGGCACTTATTATCACTTTGGGTCTCCGTGGGGAGGAAAGAACACCAGAGACCCGCTAAATGGAGATATTCACCAATGGAACGGTACGTCTAATTCACTTGCTAGTCCATTATTTTGTGCTTTGCTGAGAACTCTTGTGTAGTCTGGCATGGAACTCAGGAGAAATATCAGAACTTTGACAAGTTGTCTGGTAGATTTGTTTCGGAATTTGGAATGCAGGGGTTTCCAAGCATGAAGACCATTGACTC